AAGTCGAATAGGGAAATCGGTGAGGGAAATCGAAGAGGGAAGTAACACAGGTAAAGTGACACTTCCAAATTATTAAAAAACCAGTAATGTCAAGATTACATATATGGTTGCAAATAAAAAATGTTATTGAGTGTGCAGCTGTAGAATGCACTATTAAACTTTGCTATTAATAACATTGCAATTGTTGTACTTTCGATCTATAGGCCTCCTCTTGAAAACAGTGAACTAATTGAGCTATTTTTAAGCACAGTCGGAAACATCTTGTTATCAATTATTAATGAAGACAAAATGATAATACACACATCGCCAAAATTCTTGGACCCCCTCCTTATTTCAGAAATTATGCATTTTTTTCTCAAATTATAAAAAGTATGACAAAGAACATTTATTTAGAGCTAAGAAATGGAGATTTTAGAGTTATAAAGATTTTGTATACAAGGCAAAAAAAAAATTACAAAAAAAGATGCAAACATTTTATTTCAATTTTTTTAAAAAAACAATAATTGAACCTAATAAAAAAAAATTAGAAGTACTTTTAATAATCGGTGTGTCTTCCCCTTCTCTGCCACAAAAAGTTGACACGCCTGTGCATGGAAACAATGAGGTTATTAATGATTTTTTGGGGAATATTGTTCCATTCCTCCTCAGCTGCAATTCTTAGGTCCTGAAGGGTTAAGGGTGGATTATCCCTACTATGAATCCGTCTTTGAACATAATCCCATATATGTTCGATCGGATTTATGTCGGGAGAGTTCGCCGGTCACTCTAATCTTTCAATATTTCCATGTTCTAATGCCTCTTGTACCCTTTCAGTGCGATGGGGCCTGGCGTTGTCATCCATAAATATGAAATTGTCACCAATATTGTTGCGTAGTGGCTGAATTATACCTTGTATAATGTTTTCTGCGCAAATATTTCCAGTCATAGTCCCATTTATAGCAATAAGGGCTGTGCGGTGATTGAACATTATACCCCCCCAGAACATAATTGTTCCTCCTTGGTATGGAACAGTTTCTCGAGGAAAATCCAGTCTTTCTTGCCTTCCAGATGCTCTCCAGACTCTATGACGCCGACTATCACTCACCAAACCAAATCTTGTTTCGTCTGAAAAAAGCACGTTACGCCATAACGCCACTGGGGTAAAAGCCATCTTCTGTGTTCCTGTGCCCAATGAAAACGTGCAGCTATATGTCGACGTGACAACCTAGGGACACGTAAAGCTCTTCTAGATCTCAAACCAGCAGCATGAAGTCGCCTTCTATATGTCCTCAAAAAATGACCTCGCAGAGCTGTGACTGAAATTGTACGGTTCCTACGGACAAAATTCGTCACATAACGATCTTCTCTTTCAGTTGTTACTCTAGGGCGACCTGTTCCACGTCTTGGATCAACGCTTTCGGTTTCTTCATACAAATTCACAATACGAATAACAGAACTTCTTGAAATACCCAGTCGGTTTGAAATTGCATGATTTGAAAAATGCTCTTGATGTAAAGCAATTATTCTTGCTCTATCAAATTGCGAAATCACGTTTCCGGGCATTTTTTAAGCAAATGGTACACACAATATACACATACAAAGCTACAGATATGTATGACAAGCCGAACTTCATGCAATAGGAAAATGCGTGCAGTTCAACCTGAACAGAAGGTACCGTGACTTATTTTATCAAAATTGTTCATAGTCGAATGTAAACAACTTTGTGAAAACATTTTTTGGCCCTTTAAATGCAAATAATACACAATTCAAATTCTCAATAAATTTAGTGTAAACAAAATATTTATTTGAAAAATGTCTAGGGGGTCCAAGAATTTTGGCGATGTGTGTAGTTGCGGGAGACTTTAATATCGAAATGTTAAAACCTAATGGCAATAGAACAAGTATGTTATCCTTAGTCGAATCCTTCAATTTAGAACAAACTATCCTTGTAAATACCAGAATAACCGGAAAAGGGGGAAGTAGCATTGATCATATTTTTGTGAATAGTGAATATTTGGACAGTTTAGTAATAAATACCTTTATTTCTGACCATACCGCCCAGAAACTACTTAAAAAGATGCAAAAAATTAATAAAAATACACTTGTATACAAAAGAATTTTTTCACAAGAAAACAAAAATAATTTTTCACAAATGTTAATAGATTAAGATTGGACTGAAATTTACGAGATAGAACGTTCAAAGATAAATCATCAATGGAACACCTTTATGAATGCCTTTACTGGAATTTTTAATTACTGTTTTCCACTTAAATTACTAAATACAAACAGAAAAACGATTTATAAGGAAAATGATCAGGTCAAGGAATGTAAAAATAGATATCTTACTAAATTTATCAAAATATCAAGATCATTTTAAACAAGAATATAAAAATGTTAAAAAAGAATATGATAATTTATTAAAAGCAGTACGAACAGAAAGATATGATCTTAAAATGAGAACTTCTGATAACAAAACTAAATGCATGTGGTCATGTAAGGAAATCACTGGCAAAAGTTCTAGACAAACAGAGGTTGAAATAAATGGGAATCCAAATGAGATACCTGATAATTATAATCAATGCCTGTTATCAATAATTCCAGATTTGATAAGTGAATTAAACACAAAAACGAGCTTGCAATGTGTAAACGTTTATTTAATTTCTTTGATAAAAGCAATTTATTAAATAAACATCAACATGGATACATGTCTAACAAATCTACACAAACAGCAATTTTTCAATTTTCTAAAGCAGTTTTAAGACACATAGGAAAAGATGGTTTAGCACTTGGTTTTTGTTTAGACTTATCAAAGGCTTATGACTGTACTGATAGGGAAATACATCTGAGGAAACTGGACCTATATGGCATTAGAAGAAATGTTTACGAACTTTTCAAGTCCTATATGTCCGATCGAAAACAAAAAGTGTCAATATCAAGGAATGGACAGACATATGTTTCTGAAATTAGGGAAAACACATTGGGCATAGCACAAGGAAGTATTATTGGTCCCATTTTATTTGTAGTGTTTGTAAATGATTTGTATTCCATAGCAAATTCTGATACCGAGAACATCACATGCTAAGCAGACGACACTATTTGGTGGTGGGGGCCACAAATTTGGATGATTTAGTAATTAGAGGTAAAGACTTTCTTGAAAGGGTGGGAGACTGGTTTGAGGGGAAATAAGCTTATTTTGAACAAAGAAAAGACAAGTATAATTTTATTCCGAACAAAATTATCAAGAGTCAGAAAGCCTGAGTTTCTAACTGTAGATGAGGATCATTTGAATGTTGTGGAACACACAAAATTTTTGGGTCTGCATATAGACGAATTTTTTGACTGGGGTGAACATATTAATAGCTTATTGAAAAGACTAAATTCAGTGGTCTATGGAATGCGAATTGTTGGAAGATATTTAAGTAAGTGAAGGAGTACAAAAGATTATGTATTTTGATAATTTTCAGTCTCTCATGAAATATGGAATAATCTTCTGGGGTAAAAACAGCCTGATAGAAAAAATATTTGTAGTTCAAAAAAGAACAATAAGATCTATCAAGAAAATGGCATATAGGCAAAGTTGTAGAGGTGTGTTTAGGGATGAGGGTATATTGACAGTATGTGCATTATATATATATTTGAATGTCTAATGTTTTTCTTCAGAAACAGAGCAGAGTTTTAATTACAAAATGTAAAGGTGCTCAAAACAAAATTAAGGAAATTTTTAATAGAATTATAACCATACTCTTTAGATGATTATTTTGGCTAAGTTATATATATTGTTTTGCCTTTCTGTGACACTATTTATTTTGTGTTTATATATTTTATGTATTGTAACACAATTTTCAAATAAAGAGTTTTTGTATTGTATTGTATTGTATTGTATTTGCTGAGGATTAAATCCACTGAGGATTGTATTTTGTTGCAGGAAGATTTAAATAGATTTTCTGCTTTGTGTCAATTGAATAATTTGACTTTAATCTCATTTAGTAAATCTAGGTTATTGTTTTTGATTATACACTTGTTTCATTAGAATTATTGAGACAAACCCTAGTTAAGGACCTTGGCATCTGGCTAGACAGTGAGTTAACCTTTTCAAAAAATATAGATATAATAACAAATAGAGCAATAAGGTTACTGGAGTTTGTGTTTAGAACTCTTAAGGGTTTCAATAAGGCTTTTATAATAGATGTTTATTGTTCTCTGGTTCGATCCATCCTAGATTATGGAAGTACTGCGTGGCAACTATATCATGCTGTAGGTACATAAGGAAAAACTATAGAGAGTACAAAATATATTTCTCAAAAGAATAGGATTTAAACTAAATATTCCTTAATAATTGTGAAGAAATTAGAATTTTTTTGAACTTATCATCTTTAAAGAGTAGAAGAAACTTTTTGACATCTGTTTGTTGTATAAAATCTTAAATAATATTATGGAGACCCCTGAATTACTTGCAGATATTGGTCTACACATATCTCCTATTAATTCTAGAAATACTCAGCTTTTTTATATTGATTTTCACTGAACAAACTACGGTCTGAAATTACCCATATGAAGACTGTGTAAATTGACAAACAGTGTGATAAGTTTAAAAACACCTACTAACATAATGGTTGTGCAGTCAGGCAGAATTTTGAACCTTTTCAAATTATTTGTTCTCATTTTTGTTTAATTTTGTAACTATTACCATTACCTTTTAATCCATCATCTTTTCATATTTTTTATATCTTTTTATATTTTATGTCTTATATTATGTAATTATAACCAAATGTTTTGACCCGATGAGTGTGTATTTTAAAACGATTATTTTGAATTTTGAACCCAAAAAAACCGTTAGATTCTGCTATTCCTTTTTTCCTAAAGGTCATGTTAGGTACTTATTTATCGTTCGATATTTTTGGGAGGGCTAATTTATATTTTGAAGAAAAAAAGAATTACAATTGGGCTGATTAGTGTTGGAAAAAATATTAAATAAAAAGCTATTTTTCTCTAGATAGTTGCAGAAAAAAAAAACTTCTTACCTGTATGAGAAATTTGAGGTGGCGCCACTGCATGTTGCCCAATCAATGGATTGACTAGCCGAGCATTAACTGCCAACAAATGATCTCTTCTTTGAATTAACGAAGTAACGTGGTCTTCTAGCCTCAAGTTTTCTGCGCGCAGTTCATGCAGACAGGTCAATAGTGAAGCAACTGAAAAAATCAAGTTCTTGACATGCCCGACATTAAAATTTAAAGAGTTATTCTTACTATCAAAATGTTGAGCTTGTTCCATAAGAAACTGAGATCCCTGCTCCCATTGCCTCTCTAGCAGCTGTTCTAATGTTTGAGGTATCGCACCCCCTAACATTGAAGATAGTCCACTGCCTCCTGAAGCTGTACTAGAACCAGTGCTACTCGCTCGCGCCGACTGAATCACTCTGTGGTGCATCTGAGGCCCCATCAAATTCGGACTGCTATCATTTGAATGGTATATACTGTGGGCTTCCAACTCATTACTTAAATGATCTGTCATTTTTTGGTGCATATTTGAAGTGGGATTCAACTGGTTTCCTAACATGTGGGGCGCAGCAACACCATTTTGAAATCTAGGAAAAAGTATTGGTTTTTATCAATAAAAACGATTTGAGCACATAAATCAAAAACTAGTCTTACATTTTTACTTCTTTTTTATCCTCTTTTGACATGCCTTGTATGACGTGAACGGCTGCTGGCGCGCTTTTACGTCCTTTACTGTGACCTCTTACTAGTCCATTGGATGAAGAAGCACCTTGGCTTTCCGAACTGGGACTGCTCGGGGGAGAATCTTTAATTCTTTCCTGTTAAAGAAAATTTAATTTTATCGTGATTTCCGTTGTTGAAGACATTCTTACTTGTGAAATAGCAGCAAAAGCTCCAGGTGGTTGAGATTGCACCTGCACCGGAGATGCTGGTGGCGGGGAAGAATGATGTGCACGACTTGGACGTTTTGGTAACATCGCTGGCAGTGATGTACTCATTAAGGCTTGCATAGGATGTCCGTTACTGTTGCTACCAAGGCTGCTGCGTTTTCTATTTCGTGTGGAACGGTCGCTCTTTTCAGTCGATTGAGATCTGAAAACAAATTTACAGGATATACCTATATCATTATATTCACCGGATTGTTAAGTACCTAGTTCTTTTGGCAGGCATTTCTTGTATCGTCGAATTTGTAGAAGGGTTGTCCAACTCCAACTCCATATCGACTTCAGTGTTCATTAAATCTGGCTGTTTTTCGTAAGTGATTTTTAAGCCACCGCCACTCATTTCGGAACTCAGAAGTCCTTGATTACTGTTACTTGAAGGCATCATGAAATTATCTAGAACCGTCAAATAGTACATTACATACTGAGATGGGAAGTGTTTCATTACTGCCGAGAGATTAACTGAGACGTGAAGCATCGAAGTTAACTATAATCTCGAGACAGGAATGAAACTTCCTACCGAGGTTTGTATACTATTTTATTTACAACAATTTCAACTATCACAATTTTGACTAAATACTAAATAAAAATTAAAAAGTTTTGTTGACAAGTTCTGACTTATCCAAAAAAACGTTTGACAAGCAGGACTTGTCTTCAACATTTTAGGAAATGAGGGTTTACTTTCTACCTGGGTGGAAAGTGAGCACTTTCCATCCGGGAGGAAAGTAAAATTCAAGAAAGTGTCACTTTCAACCATTTGAAAAGTCAGAAAAGTCAAGATTATGTCTGTAGTTGTAAATAAAACGTATTTATAACTTTGCACAGATTAAATTACAAAATAAAAAACAGTAAGCCACCTCACATATATTTGTCTGTAAGTTTTTCTGAGATAGCAGTATTTGTAAGATAATATGCACTATGTGCAAATAAACTTTGAAAGCTTTTGAGCCAAGAAGGTGGGAACAGTGAACCTTATGGTTGATGAGAAACACAGAAAGTACATGTCCATCTAACCGTGTGTAGTAGATCATAATGGTGCATGCTCCACTATACCAATGGAACGGTCACCCTATTAGTGCTATAGTTTTTTGACCATTTTCGCAAGCAATGTTTTTATATTGTTTTTTTTTTTTTATCTATTTACTTATTTTTCAATGGGCGAGCTAACTTACAAAATGTTAAACTCTCAATTCACAACAGTGAGAGTTAGTTATAACTACAGTGCCTCTATACAAGACAGTGGCGACAATAGAGGGACTCATTTTTGATTGGCTACAGATTATCCGCCTTGTTTTGTCGAAAGTTATTTGTATTTGCCATTTGATCCTATGGAGATTTATGGAATTTTGTGTTAATATATTTTTGTTTTTGTTATTTGTGCGTGTTATTGACTATTTTGTGATAAAAAAATTAGAACAGAAAGAAAAGAAAGAAAAAAATACATTATTGAATGAGTTCGACAAAACATGGCGGAGCTTAGGCATTATTGTCGCCACTGTCTTGTATAGAGTCACTGTAGTTATAACCAGATCAAAATAAACAAAGAACAATAATAAAAAATAAAAAATAAATTAACTACTTAAGAATCAATAGCCAAAGTAATAACAAATACAGTTACATGAGAAAACATGAGTGAAGTTTCGGTAGGATAGATATGAATAGTGAAAATAGGTAAAAAACACATCCCCCAATTTCGATTGAAAATTCAAATTCGAAAGTAACTACCTAAAAGTATGACAAACTAAGGAAAATGTTTAGGGGAGCAAAAAGGTCAATCTTGTGGTGCTCTTTTGCGAGTCTAGCTGTTCGGGAGATGAAGGTTATTAAGTCCATAATTAGTATGATGCGTCGGGACAAGAAAACTGCCAGTTGATCTGGTAATTCTAGGAGGGACATGAATGCTGATTTTATAAAGAATTTCAAGAGTCGAAGCTACATTGCATATAGAATATTGTGGCAGGTTGTAAGGTCTAAGGTCTTTCCTCTTTTGAATTTAAGAAACAAGCAAAGCAGGACACTGATCTGCCAAGAAGCATTTTTTTTTTTATAAAGATAAAAATTGTAGAAGAGAAGAAAAAAAATAGGAGTTTTTTTAATTTTCTGTCAAAACGTCACAGTACCATCCACTTATGCTTATAGAAACAAACTCTATAGCCTAACAGCTTCTGCTTTATTCTTTGCAGTTGATAGCTTGATACTGAAAATTTCAGTATCCTTGAAACACAAACATATTATAATAGAGTATAGCAAATGACAGTTTTCAGCTTTTTTGGAGTTTATTTTGAATATTTAAATCAAAAGTCAACGTTTCGATAATCGAAACATTCCGTATCATTCTCAAGGCTAAAAAACACAAAGGAACGCTATATAAATTATAAGAAACAATTAGAAGATTAACTACCATTATTTAACTAACCATTATAAAGGAGAAATACATCTAAGATAACTAAAAACGAGTTGTACAATAAATAGAAACAAACAGGATTTTAAAAAAGAAAATATCTTTTGATAATTATAAGGAATTTAAAGTGATCCGTAATTTATAAACGATCTAGTTTTCAGAAAAAATGGATGTGCCAACAGTACTGATGTTTGCCGTGGTGATTTGGTACTAAATTATGTCTCCGATTTACAATGGAATTTACGTTTTAAGGAAATATAATTGTGTAGGTGGTATTTATTGAAGTAAGAGGGGAAAGAAAGAAATTAGTAAATTAAATTTAAACAAAGAGTCTTAAAGATGGTTGTTTATGATGTTGCAGTAGATATTGCTTAAATTTTGTGTCTTTATTAAGGTTCACATTGGGTTTATTAATGGTTATGTGACACATTTCTAAAATGAGTCTTTTTTGAAAGTTAGACTGATTATCACGGACCTTAGTAGCCTGAAAGTCAAAATGGAGTCTGTCTTAGGATTATCAGTCACAGCACCTACGGTTTTTTTGCCTCTAATAATTTAGATAGTCTTAAGAACATATTTTATTTTATTTTTCAACGGGCTGCTACCCAATATAAAGAAAGTAAACTATAATAACAATACTTAATACTTACTTACCGATACTTTTGCTCTCGATTAACGAATTTGATACATTGTCAAAGTTTTGCATGGGCCAAGGTCTATATAAGTATCATGTGGTTAGAGCACATTCAAACCCCTGATTATTTAACGGCTGTCAAATGAGAGCAAAAGTACCGGCACTAGAGTACCAGAAAAGAAAGATAATAATGTTTCAACGAATTTAGTTACATATACAAGCTCACAAACAGCCTCTCCTCAGTTCCTTCTTACATATTTTTTGAATTTGAAAACAGTCTATCATCTGAAAATTTATTTGCTAGTTTAGCTTATCTAGCCAGTTATGTTGGTATGATGGGAATCAACTTGAAAGAAATGGTTTAGCCTGGTTTGGCGAGAGGGAACATGAAGCCCAATTTTATTTGTGAGCTCAGGCCCATGAGAATTTGAGTGAAGTAAATTTTAAAATACAGAGAGATCTCTGTGCATACGACGAACCTGAAGGGATGTCATTCGAAGGAAGTTTTCCAATTCAGGGTAATTTATGTTATCGACTCTATAATGTTCCTTGAATGCTATGTACCTCAAAAACTTATGCTGCACCCCCTCGATAGCCAGTATATGGACATTATTCAGCATGGTTTTGTGACTGATAAAACTACTGTTTCAAACCTTTGTGTGCTATCTGAACGTGCTTCTGAGGCAATAAAAAATAAAAAACAATTAGACGTCATCTATACCGACTGTGAGAAAGCCTTTGACAAGGTCGATCATGGGCTGCTTCTGGATCGACTAGTTTCTATGGGAATATCATACTCCACCTTTATGTTCCTAAAATCATATCTGCTGAATTGGGTTCTGATGGTAAAGATAGGCAAGACTACCTCAAACAAGTACGTGGCCACCTCAGGAGTGCCTCAGGGTAGCACCTTAGGCCCACTGTTGTTTGCTTTGTTCATTAACCCCCTCCCTGGCTGCCTTACTGAGTCATCGGGACTGCTTTTTGCGGATGATTTCAAATTTTTCAAGGAAATATCTTCACCTCAGGATTGCTTCTTGCTCCAGGGGGATGTGGATGATGTCAATTGTTGGTTTAGGGAGAACAAAATGTCATTAAATGTGAAAAAGTGCTCAGTCATGACTTTCTCACGAAAAAACAACATTATTGGGTATGACTATGCTATAAATGGGGTCAATTTAGAACGAAAGAGTGAAATCAAAGATTTGGGAGTTGTCTTTCGGAGCGATGTGAGATTCAATTCCCATTTTATTGGAATGGTCAATAGGGCTTATAAATCTTTGGGATTCATTATCAGAAATGGAAAGTCCTTTGAGTTGGGAACGATTGTTAGACTTTATCATGCTCTAGTGAGACCACATCTAGAATATGCTGCCCAGGTTTGGATGCCCACAGCCCACACGCATGTGGACCATATAGAAAAAGTTCAAAAGAGGTTCTTGAGATACCTTTATGTCAGGAAAAATAACATATATCCTTATATGGTTTCATATAGAAGCATGCTTGAGGGCTTTGGGTTTCAGAGTTTGCAGGATAGAAGAGATAAACAGGCTGTGATATTTGTATTCTACCTTCTGAATTATATAAAGTATAAAGACTGTGATTTAACTAAATATATACACATTAACGTTCCTAAAATTAATTTAAGAAACTTAAACTACGAGCTTTTTAGTGTAGATCTAGTCAGTACATCACCCATAAATACAATGTTATTAATATGCAATAGAGTACTCGCCCGAGTCAACATAGATATATTTTTCACAAGTATCAGAGAATTACAGATGATATAAGTAAATCCTAGTGCTGTGAATGTCTGTTTGTTTAGTTTAATTTTGGTCTAGTATAGTATAGTTTTTTTTTTTCTTGTTAAGTTGTTTTTAACCATTACCTATAATTACCTCATCGGTGTTTGTAATGTGAACCATAAATAAATAAATAAATAAATAAATAAATTATACGAAGGAGACCACACACGAGAACAACAATCCAAATGTGGTCGCACCAGGGAACAGAAAAGCAGTTTGAGGGAAGGGATATTCAGAGAGTCCTTAGTACAGCGTTTGATAAAGCCCAATACCTGAAGTGATTTAGAAACAACTGATGACAAGTGTTGTGTGTAAGTTAGGTGGTTGTCAAGCAACACTCCCAAATATTTTATTTGAAAGCCAGCAGTGTACTTATTCTTGAAACAGGGGAGCAGCGTTCCCGGGAGAACGAGTGCTCCGTCTTTCTCAATGATATGAAAATGATAATATAAGGAACAAAGACGGAACACTCGTTCTCCCGGGAACGCTGCTCCCCTGTTTCAAGAATAAGGACACTGTGTAAGGGCGAGACTTTTTTATTATAATCTTGATGGAT